TTTCTGGCGAGAAATAATATGTTGATCTTATTAGAGTTGTCTTGTACATGATTAATCATTTTCTTACTCATCTTTAGAGATTTTTTTCCACATCTGATTTCTAAGATTTTCATTATGATGGTGTTTCACTACGAATCACTTTGCATTTATCCTATTTTGAATTTACTGGGCTTGAATATATAGTTTAGAAATTTTTAGCTAGTTTTAAAAAAGTTTTTCTATCTCTTTTTCTCTCTTCTTCATGTACTGTTATGCAAAGATGGCGGCTGTTTTCATTTTCTTCATTTTTTCTGTGCTCTTCCAATTACATAACCTATAACTGATTTATCTTCACACTTGCTGATCCTTTCTTCTTCCAACACTAATGTGCTGTTGAGTCCCTATAGAGAAAATGTTATCTTTTTTTTTTTTTTTTTGCGGTACTGGGGATTGAACTCAAGACCCTGCACTTGCCAGACAAGCACTTATTCTACTGAGCTATCTCCTCAGCCCTGAGAAAATGTTATCTTATTGTACTTCCCATATAATTTTGGAAAATTCTATACCAGAAATTCCATTTTATTCACTTTCTAAAAAATAATTTCTGTTCCTTTATTAGTCTATATTTGATGAGACACTGTCATACTTTCTTTGCTTAGACATAGTCCTTGAATTCTGATAGCAGCCTCAAAAGCCACACACATACACACTTCGAATGTTGAAATCTTTTGTATTTGTTTAATATTTTGAAGATATTATTAGTGGCTGCTTTGAAAACTTTGTTTGCTAAATCCTACATCTCGATCTTTGCAAAAGCATTTTCTATTGTTCCCTTCTATGTATACATATGTTCTTGTTTTTTGCCCGTCTCAGGATTTTTTTTTTGAAACTGATTAGTTTAGATAATAGAATGTAGCAAAACTGGACACTGATTTCCCCTCACTGCAAGGGATTGATATCACTGCTGTTTGTTTGGATTTTAACTTAGGGATATGGCTAAACTGACTCCATGAAGTTGATTTTCCCTTTGCTATGCAGCGCTAAGGATTTTGCCATTTTTCTAACTGATTTTATTTTTTGCCTGGCCACCTGGGGTTCATCCCTGGCTCAGCATAACTCATTGGTCAAAGGTTGTGCTTGAGTTCCTTTAATCAGACAGATTCTTATCATTTATTACTGGAAATATGTGTGGGTTGGAGGCTATCAAAATTCAAAGAGTTTAAGTTTCCATGTCACATTCAGCCAGGTACTAATAGCTTAGATTTTTTTCCTCTTTAGTTATGGGGAGAGATCACAGCCTTGAGCATGTATGATACCTTACAGTTTTTCAGGGATGAGTGTGATTTTACTTTTAGCTTGGTTTTCCAGGACTTGCCCCTGGATCAATGTATTGTTTAGCCAGTGGTTGGTCAGTAGTAATGCTTACGCCCCTATGCCAATGAGGTTCTGGCTCTTTGTTGTTTGTGTGTAGCTTGGCCCCTAGTTTTGAGTCTACCTTATGTCCTGCTCTAATTACTTCTCAGTAGGTGCTGACTTGCACTTATGCATGGCCTTACTGACACCCAGGATTGACTTAAGTCATAGGAGGGGTCTTCTTAACTATCTTTCCGTGATTCTATTACCAAACTTATCATGTGGTCATTTTGCTTATTGTGGAGTTATGAGTGCTTCTCAGTTTACCTTCCTCATGATCTCCTACATTTCACAATGCCTTTAGGTATAGGATTCTCCATGTTCTGTTCCACATAATGTCAATTTTTTCAGATAAAGCTTCATCCTTAAAGCCTGTCTATCTGTCTATGAAATTGTAATACTGAAGAAATGGAGGCAGAGACAGTGTCCTACTTCTTCCAGAGTGAAATCACTTTTTTATGATAGGTACTAGGGTGGTTGTGGGGTTTTCTCCTGCCTGTATGAACTTCTCATAAAAATACAACTTTGTGGTAGAGTAATGGGGGTCCAGCATCATCAGTTTTCTGTGCCTGGCTGGATGCCTCTATCTTGCAAGTGGGGGCTGAGAGAGAGAAAAGAAAGTTGAATGGCAGAAGAGATACTTAGTCATTTTGGGTCTACCTGTAATAAAGCTTGTACAAAACAGAGCTAGTCAGAGTTTTTTTTCTGATGAAAAAGTCAGAGGTGTTGTCTCTTCCAGGTAAAACCATAGCTCTAGACAGGGAACGAAAGGAAGACAGAGCCCCCCGCCCTTCTTGACAACACCCAAGTGTTCCCTTCAGTAGCTTCTGTAAACCAGAGTCTGGAAAGGGACAGAAGCAAATCATGGTTTAAATGCTACTGATTCTTGCTGTTCTTCTTGATTACTTTAGCATGTTTCATGAATCAATATTTCTGCATTTGTTTTATGTCCATAGAACAATTTCAATTTACATATAAAACTAACTGGTCTAAGCTCCTTCATCTTAGATCCCATCATTATTCTAAAAAAATAAAAAGCACTCTAACTTTTGAACTAAACTTCCAAGTTGAATGAATGAACAGAAAGTACTTATTTACTTTAATAAAAATAAGCTATCATCCCTTAAGAAGTTACACTAGTTTACATTTCGGTGGAAACTATTTATTCCATGTCTTCTCCCTTTATTAGATTTTGAAAACTCATAAAGTTATTTCTAATGACACCTTCACAGACCTTTGTAACCTATCCACACAGCTTCTCAAAGTTCTCTGGAACAATCTAGGCTTTCTTTTATCTAGACTTAGCAATCTGAACTACATGACTCAAGGACTCTTATCTATTTAGCTTCTGATAGCAAAGGAAACATTTATAATTTCTGATAAACCTGTTATTCCATTAACATTGGTATATCAGAATCCTGTACATTTTATTAAAATTGTGAGCATTTCCATCTTTTTTCCTTAACTGGCAGGCTCTTCCCAGCAGCTAGAACTACAGACACACATCATAGTACCTAATTCTCTAATCAATTTGAACCTCCTTATACGGGCATGATTATTATTTGCTGATCTTATACTACACATACCTTACATAATATGAGTGGCATAGGTTATCACATATCTATTTCTCTTAAAAGAATCTTATTCTCAATAAATTAAAAATATACATGAATGGTCAAATACTTTACCTGTCTTCTACAGCCAGAATCTCACTCTGGATATAGCATTCCATACAGACTCATACAAAAATCTCAACAAAAATTGATCAAGTATGCCACCCAATGGATATACTGCAATATTGCACCGATAAAACACATGATATAATACAAAAATTAGCATTTGTAATCCTATTAAGTTTACCAAAATCCACTACAGAGTTACAAAAGAAATAATGGGAAAAGGAAAGTCATCATAGTAGGGAAAGAATCAAAAGCAACAATATGAATATCCTCAGAGGTGCTGGGATTATACTGTGCTTCAAAAGAGAAGCACTTACTATGTACCCCATAGGAATTTAGAAAGCATAGGTGTGTATAGGGCAAAATAATGCTCAACCTTCTGAGACTAATGCTGTACTATTTTTCACCTTTTTCCTAACAAATTCAATCTTAGAAAGTATTCCTGCCAGCATGGTGGTACATGCCTATAATCCCAACACATGGGAGACTGAGGCAGGAAGATTGCTGCAAATTCAAGGCCAATCTGGACTACACAGCGAGTTCAAGGCCAAGCCTGAACTACACAGAAAGATCTTCTCTCAAAATACAAACAAACAAGCAAAAAAAGACACTGTTCCTTCAATGACTCAAATTCAGCCATTCCTTATTTAGTACCTACTATATTCGAAGACACTGAACTAGATGCTTTCATACATGTTCTCATTTGACTCTTATGAGTTTCATCAGTTTTACTCCAAAAAGCTTATTTCCTCTTGAGACTGTTCATGTTCAAGGGGTCTTGAAATTCCTCTATTATTTACAAAGCTTAATTATAGAAGAATCAATGAATAGGGGACTTGCACATCTGTGCAGATGTTTATCTAGATGAGAGGCTGAAAAGTTCCACCTAAGAAGCAACAAAGGGGAAATGAGTCAGTAACACTGGGCATAAAGAAAAACCAGGATTCATTTTATCTTGTGATATATTCTACCGCTTCTGTCCCATAATATGTTAAGAAGACATCCAAACTGAAAAGAGTCACTTCCAAATTCACACCCACCCTAAAGTTACAGTACTGATGACTGTGTAAGTTTTAACTTTTAGATAGTAAGTCTGTGCCTGTCCTACTGCCTGCCCATCAAAGAGTGAGAAAAAGAGTAGAAGAGAAACTAAGAAGTCATAATTAGGTGTACTGACTTAATTTTCATGGAAGTCATTTCTTACGGTGCTTAAAATACTCATACAGTATTTAGGTGATTTTTTTTTTTTTTTTTTTTTTTTTGCGGAACTGGGGATTGAACTCAGGCCCTCGTGCTTGCCAGCCAAGCGCTTATTGTACTGAGCCATCTCCCCAGCCCTTATATAGTATTTGGGAAAATAAATAGTTATGTTCCTTTCCTGTTATAGGGACTAACAAAATGATATTGATAAGGTCCTAGAAGATGAACAAATACAGCTCAAGATAAACTTTTACTAATGATTTATGCTAGGAAATAATGAACAATATAAGATTAACTTAAAAGCATAGTTTTCTATTTTTATATGCATCCAACATTTACTAAGTACTTGAAGCCCCAAAGAATTCAATATCCACAAACTGAAGGAAATGACCAATGCTCATCTATGTAACATTACCTTACTTAATAGCACTTTGTTTTTCATACTTATTTCACTTGTATGATTCCCAACATAATGTCAGTCCATAATGCATAGAAGAGTCTTAGCAAATGATCACCTCAAAATACACAGACGTGACATAGCCATTGTAATATAGAAAAATTTTGAGTACATGCAACACAATTCTATTGACCCAAAAGTGTTTTTCTTTTTATGAATTCCACGCTAGGCCTTAAGAAAAACATAAACATGGTAAGACATGCCAACTTACTGCACAGGAAAAAGATCCTGAGTCTTACTATCAATAATACCCTAATTACGTTTTTAGTCACCTTGAAAACTGAAAAACACTGGAATCCAGAGACTGAAGTTGAAGAGGTGATTGGCTTTCTTCTGCAACACACGGAAGCAGGCTGGGGCTATTCATTCCCTCATATCTAATGGGCTTGTCATTTACTCCAGCCATCTCTTGAACAGTAGGAATCTTTGGTAGTTTACTGAGTATCTAGCAAAGAAAGAAACAATTCATTAAAATCCTGAATTTAAATCAAATACCAAAGGTTGAGTCAATCCTTCTGATGCTAGGAAAGAATGCTTGGCCAAATAAAAAGAAACTGTTTCCTACACAAAACAGTGTACAATAATGTACACTAGAACACTGATCCCAGGCATATTCAGTTATTAACTTTATCAGCTAGACACCAAAAGACCTCCCCCATCTCACTTCCTGGTTCCTACAGCTGTCCCACCACAACGTATATATACCTAGGGCCCCTATCATTGTATGTTTCTCTCTTGACCCAGTGGAAGGCTAAGATTTCATTCTGAGATCTGTGATGAGAGTAGGGGTAGAGGGAAAAGGCAAGGCAGCAAGTGTCTGTGTTGGTTTGGGGGACATGCAGGCAAGAGACAACGTATGTTCACAGTGCACACACACAGAAACATGCATCTGGGATCTTGTGGGAAAGCCCAGCTTAATGAAGATAGTATGAATAAGTAAGGTGAAGCAATATGAAGGGGAGGTAAACTGAATGAGGACAGGGCAGTCCTAGATAATCTCCCGGTTTCTACATCAGAGCATTAAGCTAAGACATCTGAGCAGTAACTTTATTGTTCATATGCTTGGTTTTGGCAGGATATAAGAAGAAGAATTAGTATTAAGTTGCCTCTATCCTCACCAGTCTGACCTACCCTGACTAAGAGGGGGGGCATCTAACATGCGACTACCAGATCTTTCTTGGAAAGAGGGTCAAAAGGGAAATCATGCAGAAAGGTAAGGTTGAGTAGGGAAGATATGTGGGTGCTATGGTGGCTGTCAGGAGAGGAGGGTCCCTAAAAGGACGGCCAACCTTATTGCACCCTTCATCGTCCAGAGCTGGGCAACCATGTCCGGGAAATAGTGCTCCTGAAAATTCAAAACAGCAGAGTTTTTATAAAGCCAGCCAGCCTGAAAGCAGGGATCAGGAAGGGGCACAAAGAACCAACCCTTCTTCCCAAGAGAAAAGAGGAAGATTCATCCCTGAATCCTGGAAGAAATGAGACAGGAAAACCAGACACTCAGGAATAGCCTATATGAGGATGGAAGAAAATCCTGGATATTCTGTGACACTGACTGTGACATTTATACTATCTAAAGTCAGTACTAAATTCAAATCTGGGAAACAAATGATTTGTCTTCTAAATGAAGTGATCTGAGTATCAGTAACAGCAGCAGATCGATACAATCCAAAGATCCAGTACAAAGAAAAGACCATGAAAAGAAATGGTTTCTTATTTCACAATTGCTGTTTCCTTTAACTTATGCCCTGTGTTGTGGAAAATTTCACATGAGAAAAGGAAGGGGAAGATTTTCCCTCACCTGGTAGGTCTCATTTTCCATAGACATCTTCTTCTCAACAGTTTGATCTCTAGAAGATAAAAGTTCTCTTAAGTTCTGCGAAACATCTCAGGTTGAAGCGGAGTATAAATTGTAAATCTAGGTTATAATGTTCATTCAAAATTAGAAATAGTGTGAGCCTCACTGAGTAACTAAGATGGCCATCCTGAGCTATGCTATTGAAGAGAATTTTCAAATGTTATTCCTACCTCAGAGAGAAAGAAAAGGGGAGGAGAAGCCATGGGGCAGGGCATATTCAGGATGGTCAAAAGGAATAAAGAATTAGTGGACTGAGGTAAGAAATCACTGAGAATCTTCCCAAATTATACATCTTCCCAAAACTCCCATCTTACTACATCGTGTTAGGCTCCTCTACTATTTGATATAGAACATTGTCTCATATCTACTTAACTGTTTCTTAGCTTTGCTCAGGTATAGATCTTCATCAACAAATTCTTGTTCCTCTGGAACAGAGCATCTCCTGCAATAAGACAAGAAATCATCTTTTGGAAGAAAAATGTGTTCTTTACAAAGGTTTTACTTTTCTTATGAAAAGAAAAAGCTTAACAACCCTCTAACAGTATAACATGCACATCCCATTCACAGTCCAAAACTTTGTCATATAGAAAATATGAGTAAGAGAATCTTGGGAGCAAAAAGCCAAAGGACTATTGAAAACTTATTTAGTGTTCAAAAGTAATCCCAAAGACAAACGGATATTAATAATAATTAGAATATATGTTATATCCATTGCTAAGGAAGTGAAGTAGCCTAGAAGGCTGTCTTTTTTTTGGCAGAACTGGGAATAGAACTCAGGCCCTTGTGCTTGCCAAGGAAGCGCTTATTCTACTGAGCCATCTCCCTGGCCCTGAAGGCTGTCTTTTGGACGAAGTATAAGCAGATAAAAGATAAAGTACTGAAAAATGAAATTTAAATAATCAGTCCTGTATTCTAATCAAGTAATCCCATTTATTCTGTAATGAAAAGTACTTAAGCATATCTGCAAACTATGAGGGAATGTGTAACAGTACAGACCCATATTTCACTTAGTTAACTTCTTCCATTTTAGACTTTTTTCCCTAAAAAGGCATACTCTGTTGTAGCATCCTTTTCTATCAGGATTTATCCTGCATGAAAAGAAGATTTTAAGATAGTCACAGCTGGATTGAAGCAAACTGACTTGTTATGAGATATGTTGATTATTGAGTCAAATGAAATGATGATCAAAATGAAGCTAATGCCCATGGATGTGTCAAATGCTATTTAGTTGTCAGATGTTGCAAGCAACATAGGGTATATCATCAAGACAAACATGTAAGCAGATAGTATTGAATTTAAAATAAATGTTAACATTGATTCCATATAGAAGACATACAAAAAGCCAAATTCCACCTGGAATGTAAAGCCTTTGTTCTCAAAGAACTTTAAATCTCCTGAAGACTCAAGACTTGATGGAAAATACCTGTTCCATGTTTTGCCTAAGATGTTTGATATTCAGACAGATAGTGATGTTAAACCCAACTGCATATGTTATAGGGTAATAACAAGCTTCTCTTCTGGAGAGTTAACAATCTAAGTTTGCAGACCAAAAATTAGAGAAATAGAAGGGCTGCAAGGACAGCCAACATTTTGACCCTAGCCTTGCAAGGTCAGTGAAGACTCAGGACATAGGAGAATCGATACTGTGACATCATGTAACTCAGTTGTGTCCCAAATTTTCTGATCAAGGAGATTATGGAGCCACAGAGCAATGTAATCAATGACGTAGAGTGTGCCTAAGGAGAGTCACATGGAAAGAAAACATTCTCTCAGGCTTTCACAGAGAGCACATTGGCCAAGCAATGGTCATGACTCATCCACATGGCTGACACTGACAAAAGTTCTACAATCTGAGGTACAGGATCTCAGGATAAATCCTGAGGGGATTTCACTGACCTTATCAGACCAAAAAGCTACAACTCTTGTTGCATTGGTCCTGCTTTACCTTGGTCTTAACCATCCAGCAGGAAAGTATAAAAACGAGGTATACAAAGTAAAGCCATATTAAAATGCTAAGCTGTGAAAGGCTCAAGTCAACAACTTCTGTGGATAACCTGCTACTATTGTGGACTGCTGGACTGTGTTTGATTGTTTTGCTGAATTCACGCACCTATGGTATTTAGATGCCAATGGAATACCCATCTCTGACAGGACTAAACAAAAAAAGGGGATAGAAAGGAAGGCCCATTTTGTATCTGTATGGACAGAATAGTCAGGATAGATATACAGCTACTTTCTCTTAATTCAATGAGAAGAAAGATTTGTACTAATAGTGTTTGGACAGGATATCATATCTGCATCTTGTACTATGAATAACTACTATGAAGACAACAATATGCAATGTACTAATTATTGTAACTGTCCTACTAATCTGTTTTGAAACGGTCTCATTGCTATTTGTTTCTCAATAAAATAAAAAATATGCCTATGAAAAACATGCAAAAAATGCAGAATAGAATGTAACCAAATGTCAAGACTCAAATACTACAGGGAAATCAGAGTAAAATCACCATAAACTATTATGGATACAAAAAAGCACTATACAAGAGTTCAGCTTCTGAAATAGAGATGATTTGGACAAGTAGATGGACTGTATAAGGTCACTGAAAGCAAGAAATATAACATAATCAGAGCCATGGAACATAGAATAAGCATGGCTTGTGTGAGAAACAGTGAAGCCATAGCACTGGCTCAAATACAAAGTCTGTATTAAGGTATAATGAAAAATAAGGCTGGATAGATTCAGGTGGGTCCAGTAAAAATAGAGGGTTGAATGCAGGGCCAAAGAATGCAGATTTGAGATTAAATGTTTTAAAATATAAAGATAAATTAGATATAATCCCAGGAATTTTACTGAGTCCTAGAATCTTACCTGTATTTTGGATGGGAATTGTAGTAACAAAACCATCTTGCAGGTAAGGTAGATGGGTCCACTTTGCCAGGAAGTTTTCTCCATTTTAGACACTCATCACACTGGACCCATGTCTGATCAGGAATCTTCCTAAATGAGGGAAAACAGAAATATACCTATGTATCTTCTAGCTCTGTGCTTTGTTTTATATTAGAAAGGAACAGCCAAGTGAAGAAACCTAATTTAATATATACAATGTATTACAAATCTTATAGCTTAAATGTATAAAATGTTTATATTTTGAACTTCACAGATAAAATCATGGTGAAAATACATCAGATATGGATATAAAAATGACAAGCATGTATTAACATTGTAAGATATCATTATTTATGGAGCATAATGATATTTATCCTGGAATCTTTTAAGAAAACTATCGATAATTTTAACTCAAATTTATGAACTTGAAAATATAATATATATATATATATATATATATATATATATATATATTATTACCAAGAAATAAAACTCAGTCTCATTTGCTACTGTTCAGTCACAAAACAGATATGAAATGCGTTTACATGAGTCAAGGACTCACTAATATCAAAACATCTGACATTTTTTCTACAGATGCCCCCTATTCTCACTGATATTTCAAAATAAATTTAATTCATTTCTAGTGCTTCAATCAAAAATATACCAGGTTGGGGCTGGTGAGATGGCTCAGTGGTCTAAAGCACCTACTTAGAACAAGCTCAGCAAAGCACAGGGACCCCGGTTCAATCCCCCAGCACCGCATGCCAGCCAGCCCCGCCCCCTGGTGGGCTGAGCTGTCCACACACACACACACACACACAACACACACACACACACACACAAATAAATAAATAAATAATTTAAAAAATATACCAGGTTGCTATTCTTAAAGTTAATCTTTAAAAGTACTATAAATTCGATTAAATTTCACAACTGGAAGCAGCAGCATCAAACCAACAATTAGGTTACATTATTAAAATAGTCTTCCAGAGCGCAACTCTTAAAAACTCATATTCCCATTCACAGCTGGAACTGGAAATGAGACACCTACATCTTAAAGTGAATTTGTTTGTCTAGGAAGAGATGTGGATCATATGAGATACATAGTACCTACAGTGCAAAAAGGTGGGTTACAGCAAGGAGACGGAAGTCTGGAGAAAAGATATATAGAAGGGAGAGAGGCACTTCATGCTTACTTCACCAGTAGGGTAAGTTCTATGTACACTGATTTTATAGCTATTTCCACAGAGTGGTATGGATCTTTTAACTCTTAGTTTAGCAATTTTTTTTAAATTTTATTTATTTATGTGTGTGTGTGTGTGTGTGTGTGTG